AAGTCCAACTTCTACAAATTAAGCCCGTTTTTTTTTTACCGAATTTGAGTAATGCTTGAACAAATTTAATATTACTTATTCAAATTAACTCCGAATTGTGCAAGATAAGTTTAACTTGCATACAATTTTTGATAAAGTCCGTATAAGGATAGCGCTGGATACAATTCTCTCCTCAAGACAAAATAGAGCTTCATGGTTTTTGCGACGCCTCCGAGAAGGCTTATGCTGCCGCAACTTACATGCGCGTGGAAAAGGGGAATGAGGTTGTAGATAATCTACTTTTAGCCAAAACAAGGGTAGCTCCAGTCAAAACCATTTCAATTCCACGTTTAGATTTGGGCGGTGCAGTTTTCTTAGCGGAAATGGTTGAATCAGTCATTTGTTTATGGAATGACTCCGTTACTGTATTAGCGTGAGTTAGGAAACTACCATGTTCATGGTCGACCTTCGTAGCCCGCAGAGTGACGAATATTGCGGATAAAGTTGGAAACTGCAACTGCAGATATTTGAAATCGTGGAGTATCAGCTTCAGATTTCATAGAAAATTCTTTTTGGTGGCAGGGACCTTCTTGGCTATAAGAAGAAAAATCAGAGTGGTCTGCTCAGTATTCGAATTTTCGAACAAACGAGGAAGAAAAACACGTAGTAATTCACGCAACGAAAGTCATGGAGATGTCAGACATTCTCCAACGCTACTCTTCACTTCCGAGAGTTTTGCGAGTATTATCGTATGTGTTGCGATTTTTCCAAACTACCCACCCCACTCAGAAATCAAAAATTACCGCATCGTCTACCTCGATTTCTGCCGATGAAATTAAAGCTACGACTCAGCGTGTAATAGCTTTCTGCCAGCAACAAAACTTTCCACCAAAATTTTCGAACTTAAGATCTGGACAAACATAAAGCTCCAGAAAGAAATCCTCTGCCTAAGCCCATTTATAGATTTGGATGGAATACTGGGGACTGCAGCACGATAACGTGCATCACAGGACCTAAATTACAGCGAACAGCATTTATAGTCCTAACGTACGAATGCCATTACTCACGGTTAGTAACTCAGTTCATCCATGAAATTTCTTTACACGAAGAAAATCAACTGATGTTACGACTTATTCGAATACAATATTAATTCCTCGAGTGAAAACATTGATCAAAGCGATAATACATAATTGCAAAATATGTGCTATATACAAAATACAACCTCAAAAGCAAATAATGGGTTCTCTTCCAGCAGAACTTGCAACATTTTTTAGACCGTTTACAAATACCGGTGCAGATTTCGCTGGCCATTTCGAGATTAAAAATTAGAGGGGTGATGCTTGCGTCATCACCAGAGGCTACGTATGCCTTATTTCATGTTTTGAAACGAAAGCAGTTTGGAGGCTGCCAATTACTTAAACACTAGCACATTCTTAGCAGCTGTTTCTAGGTTAATAGCACGTAGGGGGTGTTCCAAAAATATTTACTCCTACAATGGGACGAATTTTGTTGGAGCTTCTAAAGCTTTAAAAACTGAATTCAAGGAATTCTTAAAGGAATCTCAAACAGCAGTGATATCAAAATACTTTTATCAGGAACGTTCTTGGCATTTCATTCCAGCTTCTGCACCACATATGGGCGGTTTGTGGGAAGCTGGGGTAAAAAGCTTCAATTCACATTCCCGAAAGATAGCTTCGGGGCTGATATATATCTTCGAAGAATTGTTCACCTTATTATGCCGAATTGAGTCGTGTCTCAACTCTGGACTACTAAGTCCAGCTTCGAATAATCCGTCGTATCTGGAACCCAGATATCCGAGAACCCGTCTTCTATTGACAAATCGATGACAGAAGATGAAAATCCTGCATCAGTTATTCTGCGTGCATGGGAAGAACAACTACCTGAAGGAACTTCAAAAAAGGACTAAGTGGAAGCATCATCAGCCAAATAGAAGTAGATGACTTAGTCGTAGTATAGGATGAAAATTTAGCTCCAAACGAATGATGACTTTGACGAGTCGTCAAGGTTCATCAAGGCAACGATAAACGTATCGGAGTAGTAGATGTCCAAACAGAGAAGGGATTTATTACTCGACTAATAGTGGAATTGGTCCGTCCACCATCAAATTAGTTAAACTGCGGTACTTCACTCGCCGCCATCATTTCTAAGACATGCTTACCTCTTTGTCCATTTATAGAACTATGACTCGATTTACTGCAACCCGTTCTAAAACCAAAAATCATGCAGGTCAATTTCAGTACCTTGCCGATCGTAAAAAAAAACCTTGGGATTCGGCTTTGTCTTATATAGCGAAATAAATCGCCAGACTCAAGGTTACGTGTGGTTCTGATCTACCGCTACTGCCCAAACTGCCTGTCGCCTTTCCATCGTCAATCCACTTTACAGAAGAAACAAGGTCGTGGGAGCAGAAGGTCGAACACGAAGAGCGGGCGGAAGCAGCACCCCAACATAATTGAACTGCAGTCATGAAAAACATAGGTGTGGCTCGCAAACTAGTCCTTTCCGACCACCCAGGCTGAATTCAGAGCCGCCTTTTCAGACCTTCTGTTCAAAGAAGGCGTCAGGTAGGCTCGAAAACTTGTCCTTTCCGACCACCAAAGCAGCAAGAGCGCAGAGGAGACGACGGCCGCTTATTCATCAACGCAGCTGCAGCGCCAATCATGAAACAGTTCGACCCCATATTACCGACCGCAGTTATAAAGAGCGAAGCGGGGGGTCGACTCCACCTTGTTCACGCTCTTCTCGATCCGTCCTCTTTAAACAGCATGATCGATGCGGACGTTGCTAGATATCTCCGACTAGAACGCACTTTTTCCGGCCAACATCGATGCTGTTCGCTTATTTTGCGGGGCAAATATGGCATAGCAGAGCCCGTGACAACACAAGCCGTTGTAAGAGAACATCACGTTCGAATCACTCCATCAATCAAGGACACCAAATTTGCCGCAACCTTCCAATTTATGCGGCTAGCAGATCCGTCTTTCTACGTTTCGTCGCCTACACGTGTTGCTCTGGGATTTGACGTGTACTCACGAGCAATGGTTAGAGCTTAGGCTCCAGTGACTATTGGAGGTCTTAAGACGCTGGCTACAATTTTCGGGCTGGTCTTTTCAAAGGTCCCACCAGCAATAAACGCACATGTGTGTACACAAAACCAATGTTCAAAATTTATAAACAATAAAGAAGTGCAAATATAACTTAAACCAACGGCCGTTGTTTCCAATGATTTTCTCCTCTCTACTAATATTTTATTTTATTCCGACAGATGAAGTCCAGAAAGAAGAAGGAGCAGATAATATTCAAGGAAGCTTGTGTTTCCTAGATTAAGTGGAAATTGCATGCCATTCAGAATCTGTCATTGTTCAAACTGTCGTATATTTCGATGTACTATCATTAATCGTTTTTTTTATCCAGCAAACGCTACGTCAGCAACTGTGAATATGCAAATATTGTCGTGGCAAAGGAAGTGGTATGTTTAGGCCAGAGGCCGAATTCAGTTATATTTATTGCTTGTTTAACGCATTTATTCAAAGAGGCTATGTAATATGTTATGTACATAGAATGCCACATAACTGTCAGGCAATAACCTCTAGTTCGGAAGCTCTGTGCTTGCGTTTTATTGGTTTGGTGACCAATAAGTAAAATTTCTAAGATAATACACTCTTCGATTCACAAGAAGGAAGTTCATCCGGTGCTGACATAGCGATAGCAAATTAAGAAAAACCTAAGTTGGAAAATTAATGTAATATAATTCATACTCATTTACCCAAATTTATTGACCATACTTTAAATTAGTAATTAATCCTGTGTTTCTTTCTTTATTTCTATTGAAACGCACGATTGAAAGACCGACTTGCGTCATTGGTGCATAAACCATGAGTGTTATATTTTCTGAAACTCATATGCGGCTCATTGACGTACCCATCGACGTTGTTGTTAATAATTTTATAGTGAATGCTGAGGTGTGTATCGTTCCATTTTTATTACAGGTGTAATTTTTACTAGTCAAATGTCAAATAATTAGGGCTTCAAAAGTGATATATACCGAAATTGCAGGCTATTCAAAATAATACCTCTTATTGGAAAACCCTTCACATACTTATATCATTCTCCACTTATATCATATGTAGGCGTATGAGTATATACTTTGTAAATGCACATAGGTACATAAGTACTACTCGTAATTGTGTGGCCTCGTGTACATATTTTTACGCATTTTGTATAAACACTGATATCTTTGGTGTATACCGGGGCTGAATAAGATTACAATTATTAATAACTACTGTACATTTACTAGCATATACATATATTTTATGTAGATAAACACATAAAGCGTGGAAAAGTCTGACCACGAAGCAGCAGTTAAGAACAACCAAGAGCAAATTTTTTGGCGGCATTCAGTATTTCGATTACAACCAATAGAAACAACAAAAACGGACTAAAAACTTTAATCAGTATTTGTAAAACTAGTAATTTAGTTAAATCGGCGAGTGCACTTTACTGGAGTCAAAGTGAAAACAACAGAATATCGTGAGAATTGTGACCCAAAGCAAATATCTGAACAAACAAGCAGGTGCAAGGAGTCTGGTTCCGAAAAAATAATTACTGCCTTATAAAAATACAAATGTATATTCAATTTTGTTCAAATATTTGAAAAATTAAGAAATTCTTTTGAGTTCAAACAGGCTGCCGGACAATCATTATTTAAATATACTAAGAAGTATTCGCTCAACGTTCAGGTTACTAAGTAGTCTCCTATGAAAGGCTCTAAATTTATTGTAGAACTAAGGAACAAATATTATATTATCAGAGGCGTTCGTTCAGCGGTAGGAATGAGTGAAAATTAAGATACATTTTATTATTAGTATTTCCCATCATTAACATGGTAATTTCTCTGGATATTTGTTCTTATTTTAAATTTCCTCGCTTTACTAAGTTTTTTATAACTAAATAATTTCTCTTGCCTAACCTGGAAAAATTAATTTTACCACTCAATTATTTATAACCAAAAAAATACTATATGTCACATTGTGCAAAGGGCCTAATTCTTCAAGTAGCATATTTATAAGCACGCTTATGATGAACGTCATTTTGGGCGTCCGAAACTATTCCGTAACTTTCTTTAGACGCGTGGAAGGACGCTACTTCAACAATACGTTGCATATACATAGCAATTATGAATGGGTAAAACTTATAGTCAACAATGCACTTACGCGTTTTGTTTACATGCTCAAATATTAGCGTGTATTTTCTATCAGCTTGTTTCGTTAAAAAATAGTTAGACACTGAGAGTACAGTTGTCTCCTCTCAAGAAAATAATGGACTTGTTCTTAAGTAAATAAATTATGACGGCCTGCGATCAAGTTTATCACTAACACTGTAGCTCAATAAGAAATGATATTGATAACCATCCGATCTATTTTTTTACACAATACTGCAATAAATTCTATGTCCTAATATAATCACGTCAGTAGACATTGAACATAACGCCTCCGCTAAGTACCCAAGAACTAGTAGCAATAATAACAACAAAGAGATGTAATTTTAATATGATAGCAATCAAATAAAGTAAAATCAAATGAGCAATTAGGAACAATGTGTTTCACGATCACCAGACAAAAAGACAGTAAGGCAGGCAGGCAGTTGGTAGACTCTATTATTATTAGTAGTTCTCCAGCCAACGATCATAAGCAGTGCATATAGCTGCGTTAAAGCGTTAAAATATCATTATATGGTTTTAAATAGACCTAATATTAATAATTTCAGATCCATGCGCATATTAATATGTGCATAAAAACGAGATCAGCGGTCTGTAATAAGAAATTGAACTGTGTGCATACAGTAAATATTTTCAAATAAAAAACTTCGGTGCAAATGTGCAATGTAATTACATATAGAACACAGGGTTAAGCAAATTCATGTGAACCTAGGACAAATTCGAAATATGGAAATGACCATATATGTAATGCAAAATGTTTCCACCCGAAACTTTATAATTAAAAATTTTAGAATGATACGTGGTTAAATAAAATTAAATATAAAAAAAAATTAAAATAAAAAATGCATAGATTTGTTCGGGATATGAAAAAAATAATAGTATAGCTTTGTTTTTTTTTTAGGTTACATAACGCACGATAGCTTAATTTTTGTAATTTATTTTGAGCACAGTTTAAATCATATGTATTAAAAGAAATTGCAAAAAGCAAATTCAAAACATTAATTGGTTTATCAGTTTACCTTCAAAAATGATAGTATAAATATAACTTTTTTAGTGTTAATTATGTTAAATTATGTAAGAGGAAAAAAGAACATGTCCGTTGTTCTTTCCTCTGGGTTGAGTGTAACCTAGAATATATATAAAAATGCATTGATGTTCGTTAGCCCCGCGAAAACTCGAGACTGGTCAGGTCTATTTGACTAATTAATCTTGAAATATTTGTGGAAGTGCCAAAAATCTAGTTTATGATTTGATTTACTTTATATTTGGCACATAAACAGTTCTTTGCTCAGAACACAATAATCTTCCGGGAATTGGCCCAGCAACGAAACTGTTCGCAAAAATCGCCTCATGGTTCATGTGCTGATCCTTCCCCCACGGGTGTTTTCAATGATTTGAAGAATGGCGAATATTTGATCAATGGTAGATTTACTGTGTCTAAAACCATCCTAATAAGGTCCATATTTGTTCTGGTCAGTCTGCAGGCTTGCCTTTCACCGCATTGTTGTTCTTTAAGCGGGCGATTGCTTTTCGGACCTCATTGTAGTATCGTAATGGAATTTCCGTTCCAACATCATCGATTGAGGTTTCAGGTTCCATTACATTACCGTAAATACAGAAGGTTCAGAACAGCGCTCTCCCGATATCCTCCTAGGGCCCAATATGAGTATACTCTGATCTGTAAACCTTCTGTAATTCCCCGCATATCCTCATGGTTTTTTAAAGCATTGCCCAGGCGACCGGCTTATCCAGCTTTTCGTACCACGCATTTTGATTTATCGCATTTTCTGTTCAGCTCACAGCATAAATATATTTCACACGCCATATTTTGCTGTTTTTACTCCATTGCAATTTTATGCTCCTAAGGGTACTAGCTTATATATTACCGAAATTCACACCTTTGTCTCAAGGATAGATGATAAGTTGCAGTAGTTTCTGCTTCAAAATATTGGAAGCGTAAATTGACAAGAACAAGATTTTAAGTAAAAATTACAAACAACGAAATATTAGTGCAAGCAACCGTTATGACTCTTAAATCAACTGGAAACTATCGCAAATTAAAAAGCCAATCGGAATGGTATTACATTGCGATACTTGCTTTATTTGCTATTTTGAATGGTACGTCGTCTAATGGTAAGTACGGTACGGTATTGAATATTCGATGGCATTTAAGCAACTAAACTTCTAACATTTTTCATTAAATATGCTAAATTTGTATGTGGATTAAATAAAAAAAAGTTTGTTTCAGCTGAGAGGCTGGGGTACAAAGTTGATTTAGCGATGGTTGTACAGTAGTCCGCAGAGAACATAATTTGATGCTTTTTTATTGTTACTGTATGTATCTTGTATTGCTTTTTTGCTCATGCATCGATTGATATTGATCACACCCTATCACGATTGGAAAATTGTCATTTTGATAGATTTCATTGACTCAGATTGTTCTAAACGTCGATTACTATAATAGATAATGTCTTGAAACCTTTAGCTTGTAGCTGTACTTTCTTGTGGTGTTTCGAGTATTTTTGCTACATTGCAACAAGTCAACGTCTTGGTTTTAACGCGAAATTGGTCCAAATCGGAGGTAGGACTTCGGGAAACCTGCACAACATGATAAGTTTGTTTCTGTGTCTTTCCCTTATGTTTTACAATAACGTATTCGCGTCTTAAAATATCTAGCGACATCTTTTAATTTTCAATTTATACTCTTTTATTTCATATTGCAGATGAGGTAGCACGCCATATAAGAAAATGTTGCGCAAGTGGAATAAAATATGCCGCCAATCAAAACAACTGTGACAAAAATGACTACGAAGTATACGAAATACCACCTCTTTGGCTTGGACTCTGTCATTCGACATATAGTGTGTGTTGTTCACAGAAACTAGAGGAGCAATATTGTGTTGCCGGACGTTTGGCCGCCTTGCGTGGTTCTCGATGCGATGAGCAATACAACATTACTGAATATGGAGATTGTTGTCGGGCCTGTCAGGTGGGCCTGGCTGTCAAAGCTAGTAGTAATGATTGTGACAATACCCTTTTTACGTACTTCAATAAAATTGAAACATATCATATTTGTTGCGATGGGAACAGAACGAACTATGACTACGCTAGCGCCATAATTATTGACGACAAAGATTCTGAGTACATGGAGGAAGAAAAGCAAGTGAAAACTGAAGCCAGTCATTTAAATGGCGCTGTGGAGAAAATCGATAAACGTAAGGAATTAATTGGAAACTCTAGTGATGGCACTATTGTGCTTCGAGAAGATGATGGTAAGCAAAATATTATATTTTTAAAAACCCATCTAATAGAAATACTCAAATAATATTAAGATTATTAATGGTCGATAATTAAAACGAATTAAGAATTGGCACTAAGATGGCAGATAACAGAAATAGCAGGCGGCAATGAGTTAATGCATAATTTCCACTCAAATATAACATGTACACCATTTGTAAATGATATCTACATGAGAGTGCGAATGAGACTAAAACATTTAAGCAATGGAACATTCATAATCAATCTTATAACGGAGGAATAATAAAGGAATTTCGTTTCGATGCTCTATGGTTTTGCTTTTTCAATATTAAATAAGGGCGTATTTGAGAGTATTTCATGTCAAGCGCAGCTATGAAAAAAAAATAACTTTGCGACATACATATGTATGTATGTACATAGATTGGCAGACGCGCTGCGCACAGCGCAAGTTAGTTTCAGAAAAATAACTCTTCTTTCTTACGGGAAAGAATAAAATATTTAAATATTAAAGTTGCAGAAAATGATTTAAAAAATAATATTTTAAATTTTACTTAAACTATGAATACATTTTGAATGAATTTAAAATAAGTTTATTATAAATATGAAGGTATAAGCATAGCTCATGTTTTTTCGCGATTATTTTATAACAAAGTCCTTTACTATTGAATTTTCAACTGTAAATGTACAGTCTATCTGGTAACAGCAGTATACAGAATTATATAAGTGTGTATGTTGATTGAACATGAAATTATTTGAGAATATTCTCAAAGAGTATACCTTCAATTGCGAATGCTGAGAAAACAAATAGCCTTAGTGCTATATTATTCATTCCATTCCATTATATACCTCTTCGTATGTATGTATGCATTCTCTTTCATATTCGCTTACATATAATAGAATGAAAGTGCGCAGACATTCTAACAAAAAGATAGTGTTTTAGAACTGTAAATAAATGTATTTACGTAACTGTTAAGTGTACAAATATTTAACACTTAGAACGTATAATCACAAAAATTTAATACATTTTTATAATATGTAAATTTATTGTTGCAACAAGTGTTTCTGTCGCTACTTGCTAAGTGTTATTTTAATATAATAAATACCAATATAAACAATAAATCCTCTTTATCCTCCTCTTTATCTATAACATAATCAAAAAACGAATTTCTTTAGTAATAAAATGCAAAGTGCATTGCTTATGATATCATAGTCCGAAAACAATCGTAGACCCAGAAAAAAGAGCCCCCCTTTCCACAACCAAAGCAAAAATCTTCAAAAGAAGACTATGCTTTCTGTGTGGTGAGTGACCACCTCAAAACAAAGCTGAAAACCAAGCAATACTCTCCCATTGCCGGAGAAAAGAAGAAATTTGCGAAAAGTTTCAAAACATAGCTTTACGGACTAAATGCTCTATTTGAAGTACATTTGGCCTTCATTATTAAATAATAATAAGTTATGATGTCTTAGTCCTGTTTTCACAATGTCCGATTAATTTAACTTTTAACTCTAGGATAGCTAACCGGCAGATAGACACTTTCGTTTTCACCAAGTTCTGGTTAGTTTGATCATTGTGAATATTTTAAATTTAAATGCAAATTCACAAAAACTTTTGTTATGAATACATCACAAATGCATGAAAGCTGGTATTTCTTTTCATTTTTCCATGCTTAAGTAGATATTTTTTATGATCTTCCGTTTTCTGTTTTATTTTCTTTTCATTAATTAGTTTGATGAAATTCATTTCAAAATTTTTTCTTGGAAAAAAAAAACTTTTGATGGTTTTTAAATAATCTTATAAAATGTCCTTGCACCTTAGCTATGTTCCCGGCGGAATCATGTTTCCGCTGGCTCATGCGTTTGAACTTCTACTTCATCCGAATTACAGTCATTCTAGATGCCGATATTGCGCATTACTCCACACGCAATAATGATGTTCATATTTGAGCTGAGCGAAACTTTCAATCCAAGGATAGTACTGGAATACGCGTTTCCATACTACATATCCCCTCTCCATGCAATTTCGAGTACGGACTTGAGTTTCATGGTAAAGACGTTCAATAAAATAATGTTGTCATGGCCAAAACTAGATCACCTGCATATAATGTCCACATTTCCATTGGTAGTGTCCTTTTATTCTTCGAAAACTTTTGGTATTACTTTCTCCATGTGACTTTTGAATTTGACTTTTGCACCTACAGATATGGACACTATTTACCACTGGACTGGCAGACTGGCCACTTTTGTTCTGCAAAAACCAGCAAAACAAAGTTAAAAAACTTCCCCATGCATAAAAGCGTAGTGTTTTACCCAAAATATCTTCAGCAAAATCGAATAAGTTATCAACAATATTTATTTACTTTTCACAAACTTTTCAGTGACTCAGCCAGATAGTCTGTGCTTTCCTAATTTACAGATGTCAAATTATCTTATGGTTAAGAGCTAATCGCCATTCAATGTTGGCGTTAAGTTAACCGCAACTTAATTGACAGTTGCGCCTTAACCGGAAATTGTAACAACATATTTTATGCAATACTTTCCGATTAAGTTATGATTAAGTGTTTAACCGAAGATGGCGAAAACGGCCCTTAGTGTTGCTGCAGAGTCTAGCACTGGGTTTGAAACGCATTTCATGCTATTGAATTGGGAAAATTTACTGAGGTTTGCGCGAACAGACAACAGTTGCTAGATAAAAATTTGAAATTTGAATGCAAAACAGAGATACAATGATATTGAAAATAAAAATAACAAAATACAACAACAGTTTTTCAACCTGGGTAGCAAACCAACCTTTTTAATAATAAGAAGAAAACGCAAACGTACCATTTATTTATTTCCGCTTAATCTTTTATAATTTTAGATGACATATGCGGAAAAGTGAAGAATCTGTGCGCACATATTTGTGAGAATACCAAAGAGGCGTACCGTTGTAAATGTAACCCTGGTTATAAGTTAGAAGAAAATAATGTTACTTGCTCTCGAGTCATAAATGGTAAATATCATATTTATGTAATCAAATTTGTAAAATAAAATTTGTATTGTGTGTTTGCTACTTCTCAGTTAGCAGTGTAATTAAAAACATTGAAAAATAATTAGTATTAATTCACATAGTAATAGAATATCGCAATGAGCGAACTAACCTAACATCAATACAGTTTACCAATGCCCTTCAGGGGAAAATACTAGTTGTCAACTAGAATTCAACTAGCTTACATTTTTACACCAACTAGTTCATCTTCACCCATTTTCTATGTAAGCAACTGGTATTTTTAACACGGCGATGTCCTACGAGCTGACAATTGTCCTACTATGCATCAGATTCATTCTAGTTTAATACTAGTTCTTTAGGCATGTGAAAATTCTATATCACCAAAAAAAAACTAAATCACATAAAATTCAGTTCGTCGGCTGAGGGAATCGAACCGGGACCCTTACGCACCTCAGTGAAGACCCCTAACCACCAGACTAACGTTATGATATATGGAGGAACGAAATCTTCGCACTTCAAGGAAATGAAACTCAGCCGCGTCAAACTAAAAACAACATACGAATCACGTGGAAGTGAAAATTTGCTGTTTTAACAAATATTAAAAAAAAAAAAAATAAATATTAAAAATATCTGTTTCACCCAATATTAAAAAAAAAAACAATTAATTTGCCACTGGCGGGGCTCGAAAAGCGGGCTTAACGCACTACAGAGATAACTTCTAACCACTCGGCTATCATAACGATGCAACGGTCAATGTCATTTTGCGCACTTCAACAGAACAGAGCAGAGAATGGAATTCAGCCGCGGTCTGCCGATGTAACAGCAACAAACAGAGGTGGAAATTATTATTTCTGCCATTACTGATGGACTTCTTTACAAAAAACTAACTGGTATGACATCATCTTTAACATACTAGTATTCAACTAGAATTTTTGCATACCAGTTGGTTTTCCCCTGCAGGGTGTACAGACATATGTATATGTATTCCAAAGTACAAACGCTTGCCCCTAATGAATGATTTTAAACTAATTGCCATTTAAATATTATAGCTATGTTTAGTTGATATTAATAAAATTTCATTATTTTGCTTATAATTTTATGAAAGTATTATTTAATGTCATCTATTGCAAAACAGACGCGAACGGTAAAAACAACGCTACTGATGAACGAAGTCAAGATGTAGAGATTGCTGCCACTGACGAAGACGATAATGTAGCCAATAAAGAAATTCGTAGCAATATTATTAAAGTTGGTCCATTAGAATGTTATAATGGTTTCGAGTATGACTACGTAAATGGTAAATGTATTGATGTTGATGAATGTGCAAATAAATTAGACAATTGCAAAAGTTATCAATACTGCCACAACACTATTGGGGGCTTTCATTGCTTGAATGTGAACTCAAAAAAATGTGACCCAGATAAGGAGAAATGTGAAGAGTGTAGTGCCGGATATCACTATAAAAATAAGAGCTGTGTTGACATAGACGAGTGCGACATCGATGAATATGCATGCGATAGCAGTCAGATGTGCGTGAACGATATAGGTGGATATCGATGTGATTGCAAAATAGGTTTTAACCTTGACGCAATCACTAACGCTTGTGTCGGTAAGTTATTAAAGTAAAGGCCAGCACTGGCATTAACAAGGTAAATGCTCATTATGGAAACTTATAAAATATAGAAAAGAACATTAATTGGTGAACAGAGTTATCCCCATGCGCTACCACAGAACGTATAACACAGAGAAGGTGCAATTACGGATCAGAGCGAAAATTGTCAAAAAGTACGATTACTTCGTTTCACGTAATCGTACCACACTCCTCACATGATTCGCAAAACCAGCTGATAATTAACGTACCAGTATGTTACTTTGTAAAAAGAATTTAATTTGATAAAAATAATGAAAATATCAAAAATTTTGTCGACGGCATTTTGCTTTTGCATATGTACATTTGTACGCCTAACTCAATTACATGCGAAATTAAAATATCATAACCATCGTTTTCACCGGGCCAATATCTACATTATACTTATAATTTATGGTTGCATTCCTATTAGAAGGGAAATTTTTCACATAAAACCTACCAAAATTTGATTGGAGACGTATGAAGCTGAACTTTCAAAGTTCTCTCATGAATACTTTGAAAAGAGACTTACGCATGTCTACACATTAGTATATGAAAAAATGTGTTTTTTCTGTTTTCGCAATAAACTAGCAGATTTACAAAATAAACCAATGTTTTGATTTTAAACATATATGCATTCATATGAATATTAATATTATTTGTAGCAAATATACAATCTTTTCTATTAACCGTGCAAATATTTGCTTGAATAAGGGATGTATATGTATGCATGTATGAACGCGCCTGTGTTATGCACAAGCAGAAACTCACTCAGAGTGAATCTGCGTTGGATTTCAAGGCTGATGCTATTATTGGTTTTAATGGAGGTAGATAGACGAAATTATCTACGACTTCAAAGTTAAGACTGTCAACAGTGACGTGGGAGCCAAGCAGAAATAACGGTACGGTTGTTGAGGCCGATAATGTCAATATCATCGGCGTACACCAGTAGTTGTACACTCTTATAAAATATTGTACCTTTTCTATTCAGCTCTAATTAATTTCTCCAGCATCAAATTGAGGAAATCGCACGAGAAAGAGTCGCACTGTCTGAAATCTCCTTTGGTATCGAACAGCTCGGAGTGGTCCTTCCCAATTCTGACTGCGCTTACACAGCCGTATAAGTTTTGCAGGGATGTCAAATTTATACATAGCGGCGTAAAGGCAGCTCCCTTTCGTGCTGTCGAAGGCGGCTTTAAAATCGACGAAGAGGTGGTGGGTTACGATATTCTTTTCACTGGTCTTTTCCATGGTGAATATCTGGCCAATGGTTGACTTACCAGGTCTGAAGCCACTCTGATAAGGTCCAATCAGTTAGATGACGATGGGCTTCAGTCTTTCGGACAATACGCTCGACAGGACCTTATAAACGATATTAAGGAGACTTATTCAACGATAATTGGCGCAGACTGTGGGGTCCCTTCTTTTTTCATGGATTGAGCAGAGCACACTTAAATTCCAATCGTCGGGCATGCTTTGTCCCACCATATTGTGCAAAGGAGCTGATGCATGCACCTTGTCAGCTCTTCACCGCCATGATTGAATAGTTTTGTCGGTAGGCCGTCAGCCCCCGCCGCTTTGTTTTTTTTAGCGGGCGATTGCTATTCGAACTTCTTCATGGTCGGGTAATGGAACGTCCCTTCCATCGCCATCGATTGGGGCATCGGTTTCACCATCTCCGCACTCTCCATTTTCAGTACTATTCAGCAGTTTTGAGAAGTGCTCCCTCCCTTAATTCAATATACTCTGTGCATCGGTGGCTAGATCCCCCCTTTGTTTCCCACAGGAATTTGCTCCGGTCTTGAAACCTTATGTAAGTCGTCGTGCCTTTTCGTAGCATTTTAGAGCATTATTCCTGTCGGCCAGCTTCTCAAGCTCTTCATACTCCCGCATCTCGGCCTCTTTCTTTTTTGGTCTGCAGATGCATCTTGCTTCCCTCTTCATCTATCGGTATCTATCCCATCCCGCACGAGCTGTAGTCGATCGCAAGGTTGCGAGGTAGGCTGTCTGTTTTCTCTCCACTGCGACACGGCAGTCCTCATCGTACCAGCTGTTGTTTGTTTCCAATAGTTTCGTTTGCAGCTGTACATAAGGAGTTTGCGATTCCGTCCCACGGGTCCTGTTGCTGAAGAGTGCAAGTCGAGAAGAAAATCGTTCGGCAGTTTGTTATGATTGCAGCGTTTCAACGTCGAATTTTCATTTATTTAGTATATTGACGGGAGTTCTTCGATACACAGAGGCGCATGCGTATCTTCGCTGCAACAAAATAATGGTCCAAGTCGCTGTTGGGTCCTCGGCATTTACGCACGTCGAGAATACTGGATACATGTCCGTATAGCACAACATGATCGATCTGGTTTCTTGTTTTTCGATCAGGGGACAACCAAGTACTTTGATGCTACTATTCGGGCCCCGGCGAAGTCGATCAGCCTTAATCCATTAGGCGATGTTTCGTTGTGACAGCTAAGTTGTCCAACAGTCGAACCAAAGGTATCTTCTTCGCCCACCCGATAAGCACGATTTTCACGTCTTATCGGGGGCAGCGCTCGTAAATATACTCTAGGTGCTCATAAAAAGCATCTTTGGCCTAATCGTCCTTCTCTTCCGCCGGAGCGTGGGCGCAAATCGGCGATATGTTGAAAAATTTCGCTTTAATACGGATTGTGGCGAGATGCTCATCCTTCGGAGACAATGCCAGTACTCGACAACGAAGTCTCTTCCACCACTATTCCAACACCAAGTTCGCGCTTTTTTATTTGGCCACTGTAGTTGATGTCCCAAGAACTTAATCGCTTTCGTCCTTGTCCCGTCCGTCGCACTTTTTGTACGGCTTGGTAGCTTCCCAATTAAGGGACCAGGTACATGCCCTCAAATCGTGATTTTTAATTCGTATGCGGGGGTCATCAAGAGAAGGGGGGGGATGTCATCCGAGGCATTGTATCATTTTTCATTGGAATGAGAGAGGAAGCTTCAGTGGAGCCACTCCGACTTATTCGGTTTAGGGGTCATCTGAAGTCTAATTGCAACATCTGTTCACCAGAGGTGCGGCTGCGAGCGGTTGTCGGTCTTGAAGCAAGCGGCTCGCTAAATAAATGTGTAAAAAAAAAATCTAATCTTACTCGCCTGGCGAGGTTGTCCGCTGGGTTTGCGACCCGCCACGGAAAAACTAGCTCCAATGAAAAATTCGAGTGGAACCAACCAATTAATACTAGGCTGGTATATATATCACGCTATTTAGAACACCTCTATTCTTACTCGGGCTATCGAGTATAAAAACGGGGGGAAAGATATTCCTAAATCGTTTTTTCTCATCATTCCATGAAGTTTTTTTACATAGGGTCTATACCTACTGCGATTATTTTGAAACTGTTAGCAGTACAAACTTAATACTCTGATCACATAGTATAGCAGGTCATAAAAAGTCCCGTAACAATTCTGCGGTATGAACATTCTCTCCTACCACTAAAATCATCCAAACCCAGCAAGAATTTCATTGCCTTCCCACATACGTCTTGCCCTACAAGCTGAATTTCGATGAGGATTACAAAATCCTGAAATTCGAAAATTTAAAAATATTTGATGTTTTGTTCATAAAGTCAAAAAGAAAAAGCCAAGAACAACAAAAACAATTACGCTAGCCAACCCCCATTTCTTCAATTTTTTTGCCAAAGATCAAATATTTTAGTTGAGCCAAAATCGCAAACCGATACATTAAAAGCTCCCTTTCCCTTCGCTCTCTCCATAATTCAGTTGTTTGGGTCAAAATTTTTGTCGAAAGTTAGAAATTGATGTTGAACTTGCGACTAAGTAAAAACACATACATTCAAGCATTTTAATATGTAATTAAAAATACACATGCCTTTTTGTCTTTCAACCCGCCGTCCACAAACTACTTTTTCGCGACGACCACAAAATTTCAGAAAAATCAGAATTCAAGTTGGTCTTAAGTTGAAGACACATACATTCAAAGCGACCATTGTGTGTGTATATGAAAAACCTATATTATACATATATCCACAAAAACTTGCCCATAGCTCTCCCTTCTACCCGGCTCCCATAAACGACTTCTTCGAAATTCAGAAATTCAAGTTAAGCTGAAATCAAACATTCGTGCATATGAATTTATACTACTGTACATTATGTACGTACGCTAAAATGACTTTATGAATGAATTTTGACTTGTTTCGATATTAATCTTCCAAAGTAAATAATATTTAATACATAGAATTTAATCTAATACAGAAATATTTTCAATATGCCTCAATCATCATATTTACCATTAAATATATATTTAGGTATAGTTAAAAATTTTTGATTTGATTAATGAAATATTATATTTGATGAAAGTTGCAACTATAACTGATAGCAATTTATAAGAATTACATAAATACATGTTCGTGCTTAATAAGCATGTGAATTTATGTACATACTCATACGCAAAAGGTCATCATTTAGGAATTAAAATGTATCATTTGTACTTAAGAAATATTATTTGAAAATTGTTTAAATATTATCAGTAATTAAATGATGTTAAGCGGTTATTAATTTACATTTGCATAGATTTTAGTTCTCTGGTGTGTTTGAATATGCGAATTATCTCAAAGCTCGGAATTAAATATATGTATTGAAAATCATTAAAAACCGCCAACCGAGACATCTCTTCCTCAAAATAAAGTTTGTGCAATCTTCTCATGCTCACAATGTTGTTGGTAATGACAACAATTGCTTTTTGTAGGGGCTGTCAGAATTTGGAGCTCATTGTATCAGCACGACTGGATCCTTCAAACCGGCATCCTTATTCTCCTTACCTATGTTTACATACTGTTCAAATCCCTCATTTTATATGTAGTATTATCCCTACATCTTAGGAACAAAGATTAAAATACTCAAATTGTAATTCATTATATGTTAATATAATATGTTTACAATGAAAATACTCATAAGTTATGTCTTACGGTACACATATTTTAAGCCGCTGAGTC